CCACACGGCGACTCACAACCTCTGTTAACTCTGGTCCTAGGGGAACTGATACCCTTTCAGTGGGCAATGCAAGAGTTATGTGGTACAGACAACAGACATACACTCGGGCAAAACACTCATACACATAAAAGATAATTTAAAAATTTAAAACTCAATAAAATAAGTAAGTAAAATTTAAAAGGACAATTCAGAAACAAACCCACTAAAGGATTAGGTTGCTGTTTTGTCAAAACTGGGGATGGACTCTGGGCCTCATACACACTACGGGACAACGACTAAGATCTTCCCCAGCCTTCTTTTACTGGCTTTATGTCTTTACGTGTGTGTCCGGTGCCAGGCCTTGGAAGGGACTGAACCACCTAGACCTGTCGTTACAGACGACTGTGAGCTGCCAGGTGTCTTCTGGATTTCCCAGCCAGGTCCTCTGGTAGAGCAGCCAGTGCTCCTAACCTCTGAGCCATCCCTCCAGCCCTAGCTTCCCACTCTTTAAATTTTGAGACTGGGACTCAAATCCAGGTAGGATTTGAATGTTAGCTCCCATGCCTCTGACGCTAAATTAATTGGGATCACGGGCCTGCACCAAACCCCATCTAAAGGCAGGGATGGGGGGGTGGGGGTGAAGGGGCATTTAAATGAGCCTTGGTAAGGAAGGCACCTGCAGAGGACCCTTGGGCTACCCAGAGCAGAACAATACCCTAGAGAGAAGGTTCAGGGAAAGCCTGGACCTCTCTAGACCTCCCAGAGGTCTCTGGCTGAGACAACAGATGTCCCTTGCTGAGCTGCTGTGCCTGGCACCTCTGGACTCTGCAGAAGAGAAAACCCTCTGCTCTGCTTTTTTCTGAAGGACTGACAGACCCTGGGATTGGACACGGGATCTCAATATCCCCATTCATAACTTGAGAACTTCTAAGGCCACCGTCTGGGACTGTGAGTGGGTCCCACCATTGGGTAGCTCTTAAGCTTCCTACCAAGAGCCCCACCCCCACCCCCCATACCTCATTCTGCCTCTGCCCTACAGGAAAGCCAGCCTCTTGGCAGCTCAGGGAATTCCTTCCCAGCCCCTCCCAGCCTCCAGGGCTTCCTGTGTGGAAACAGCCTGAATCCTGCCTTGCTAAACACAATTATCAGGAGGGAGAGAGCTCCCTGGAGCTTCCTGTTTGCTAGGAGCAGATCCCGGGGCCTGGTCTCAGTGCTTCTGGCCCAGGAATGGGGCAGCCAAGCCAGAAGGGTGAAAGGCTGGGGGTGGAAGAGTGTCTTCATCCCAGTTCAGGAATGGAGGGTTGACACAGGGCCTTGCAGTTTCCCTAGGAAACAGGTAGACCCTCTAAAGCTGAGGCCACTTCCAGAGAGCTCAAAGCATTTTGAGTCCAAGACTTCTCCTGATCTAACCTAGTTCTTGGAGAAGGGAACACACACACACACACACACACACACACACACACACACA